CAACTGCATTAGACACATTTTTACCAGATCAAAGCCTGGGCTTCAAATCCAGATGTGCTCTTACCAGTTCTTAGAGGGTGAGTACGTATGGATTTCATCGAAGAACCTTTCTGGCTGGTGCAGAGGGTAAGGGCTCGGCCTCGTCCACCCACCAAAAAGCACAAGCAAGTCCTTGTAGACCACCAGCGTGGCCCCAGCCTTGGGCGAGGGATACGAACCTGGGCAGAGATAGAGGAAGAGAAGGTTAGGAAACCATGCCTGAACACAGCCACTGAAGTCTGCATCAGTTTTACTGAAGTACAACAACATGGAGACTTGACTTTTTAAAAAAAAAAAAAGAAAAATAAAAAGAAAAAAGAAAAGCAGAAAAAAAGGCAAAATTAGAGTTGAGAGCCTGGGAAGAAAAACTACTGCCAATTTGTGTCATCGTAATTAGTAGGAGCCTGAAAGCACATCTCATGTACGGCAAAACATCTGTCACTCACTGGCAGGAAATTGCTAGCTTTCTAATGTACCCCTTGAAATTATTGCTTTAGCACTGAATAAAAGCAATAATTACCTCCAAATACCGAGTAACTTCTCCCCAAGGAAGGAGGGAGAGCGAATACCAATTCTAACGCATCCGGAGTCGCTCGTGGCAGATCGCTCGGGTACTCATGCACTGAACCCTGTTTTTTGTAAAGCAGTGTGATTAAACCCTAAACGCTTTGGTGCGTGAATTAACAGTCACTCCTCAAGTCCACAGAACACAGTGCTCCTCTAAAATTATTAAGAGATTTTTTTGCTTGCCTTATTTGAGGTTCAAACCACTTGGGCCAGGAACCTCCTGAGCAGGACCCGCACAAGTGAGGCAACGTGACCTTTTGGGCTCGGTGCCATTGCGATTTGCGGTGCTCAGACAATGCCGTACATCCCAGAGATTTTCCAGCAGCACAGCAAAATGCTGAGCTCACCTCTCAACCTACTGCTGCCTGTGGTCCGTGCCCTGGGCCCCACATTGCTCCTTAACCGGCTTGGAGCAAGAGCAACTTCAATGCAGAAAGCCCCTTTGCGAGGGCAACTATCAAAGGATGGGTTCTCTTTGAATTTATGTCAGGAAATCAGTCACGGTCCACTGCAAAAATACAAACCCTGCATTGCTACCTCACCGACGTGTTAGGCGCTGAATTGCTTCCCGGGAAAAGCTAAAGCCTCACCAGCCAGGGCTGATGAGTCTGAGCATCCTCCTTCCCATGGCCATGACCAGCACCAGGCAGATTCCTCCACCTCTGCAGTCACGCTTTCAAAATAATCATAAATACATCACCCAAAAAAAATGGATGCGCATGCCCGGCTGCGGGAACCCGGGGCAGCTCAAGGGCAAGGCTGCGCACGTGGCCACAGAAGCACCGTCACCCTCTCCAAAAAGGCTGATACACCAAACCGACCTCTCTCCTCTGATGTCCTACTAGGACTTTGAAAAACATTTTTAGCAGGTAATGACATGCAGAACAGAAACTATTTTTAAAAGAAACCAGAGCAGCTATTTTAAGATGCTGCAGCTGAGAAAAGCAATTCCATCGCGATGGGTTCCAGGTGGTGGATTGGTAAGAGCCCAGCCAAAAAGCAACCCCCAGCCAGATGCAGAGGCTGCAGGGTCCTGGAGCCTTTCTCCAGGGACAAAGCACATCTTTGCCACTGCTCTCAGGTGTACAGCTGTGGGGGAAAAAGGAAATAAAGTTGTGCGGGAAACAATTCTTGCGCTGGGGCACAGATATAGCATTGCCAAGGTCTCCTTAAAGACGAGAGTGCCAGAAGAGGGTCACATTTGGTTACTCTTTGTTCCCAAATTCCAGTTTTCCTGGCTCGTTCCGTGGCTGTGTGCAATTCATTAATCCACACCAGCAGGTTTCCAGCCTAAGTATTTCCCCAGCAGAGCACAGAGTTGCTCTCCCAAGCTTGGCACTGCAAACTAGATTGGTGGAAACTTTTCTGCCCGATTTGTAGAGAATTGGCTGGCTGGGCTTCTCCATCAAGGACACCACAGGGCAGCATGGAGTGAAAGGTGCTGGGTTTAAATTGGGTTATTTTTAAACAAAAAGGGTTAGCTAGAGTCATCCCAGGATGGACAAAGAGATCAGTAGTTTGCTCAGGAAGGTCTGGGATGCTGCAGAGTGAGAAAAGCCACCCTCCTGCTGCTGTAACCTGAAGGTCAAGCCCGGCCTCAGACAATGAGACGGTTCCCAAATGAGTCAACGTGTAAACAGCCCAGAGCAGAGACTAGCTCTGGTTTTTCAGGAAGCTTTGCCTGTTATTGGATGTTGTACAGGTACAAATGAGCAGCGTTTCATTCTGCGATGCAGGGAAAGAAAAATCTGAATTTTACAAGTCAAGGAAGTGTTGGCCTCTCAAAGTGTCTTCCAACCAGACGGTTGGGAAGCCTACAGATGCTCTCTGCAAAAGAGACGTGCCACAAGCTTGTCGTACCAGAGATGGCTTCAGTGACCTTGTCTTCAAGTAGAAAGATGTAGACAAAGAGTGGCTGAAACCTGGAGAATGAACAGGAGTGGAGAGCTGCCAGGTGCTGCTGCCACCATCCCTGGGAAGGGCAGGAGCATCCGGAGGGAGGCAGAGCAACGCCTGCCCTGCCCAGGCGAAGGTGACGACCAGCCGGCAGCCTTTGTGACTTCAGGGCTCAAGTATGCGGAGGAGCGCAGGGAGGACGGCAGCAGGGACATCAAAGGGACACGGCTCAATTATGCCGGCCCCGTAACAACCTGCTCAAAGTCCGAGCTCTTCAGAGGATGTGCCCAGCCGCGTTTCAAAGGCTCGCAGGAACCTACTTGACATGGGAGGGCTTCTTCCTCTCCGGGATTATGCTGGCAAATGAAACTGCTTCTGTTCCACAGGCTGAAGCGCCTGCAGAAGAACATCATTAGCTAATTGCACTGGTTTCAACTGCTCTCTTGGTTGGAGCACAGAGAAGACTCTTCCTGGCTGGGTTTCCAAGCTTCACACCCTGATAACACCATCCAGCCTGATATCAGATTATCTTTCCTTGGGGATAAAAATTCAAGCATGCAGAGGGTTTAGCACAATTAACTACTCCTAAACATAGAAGGCGGTATCTCTTTACAGCTGGCGCTGTTTATTCAGTCAGGATGAGTAGCTAAAAGCTGGTCCGAGCTATTTTTTTCCAGTTGATGGATTTTCCTGGCTTGCGAAGCAGATACATACTTTTCAAAAAACAAACAAACAAAGATCTCCGGCTTCCATGGATGTTTGGAAGAGAAATGCCAGCCTCTGATCGCTTCTGACACGAGCTCTGGACGCTGTCTATTTAGGATCTGTCCTTATAAGCATTTTTTAAAGCCCATTTATTCAGCCCTCTAATGCAACCAGAGCAGCACCGGCGGAGCTCAGCGACCACAAAAGAAAAGCCTGGCTGTAAGGGCACGTGTAACACGAATTTCCAGACCAGCCTTTTACCTATGGTAGGCGCAGCCCCAAGTGACTCCAAGAACAAATACCAAGTGAAGCTTAAAACAAAAACGAAGGGGGAAAATAAATAAACAAATAAATAAATAAATCACACCCTGCCTGATTTGATGGGATTACCCAAATGAAAGTATCGCTTCAAATCGATGTTGTTTGGGGAAATATTGTAAGAGATGTGCTGGAGCAGAGCCAAGGGTTTGCACTGTCTTGGGCAGAGGAAGGTTAAAGAGTTCTGGGGTTGTGTCAAGGGGATAAATTTTGGGGGATTTTATTACAGCACATTTTTGGAGACAGATGAGATGAGAGCTACTAACAGAGGCCATTATTGCCAGGTCTGATGGATTTCTCAAGCCACTTTAGCTCCAGCAGAAGATGATACTGTTCTCCCTGCGACTCCACTGAGCTGATCACCATCACCATCGCCAGCCGATTCGATTTACACGAAATGCCAGGATAAACAAAACCAGGCCCACAGCCATGTTTCCAATTTCAAAGCCAAGAAATTAAAGTAAGCTCCGTCCGGCAGCCAGTAGATTTCAACATGCAAAGAAAGCCAAGTTCCCCAGGTTCAAAAGTCGCCCACAATCTGCACACCAAAGGCATAGGAAACCCTCCCAGGGAAGGGTTTGGGGCTAACAGCCACTACCTGCACCAGCAAAAAAAAGGGGCACGGCAACAGTCCTGGCTCAAGCCACGCTGGAAAGACAGCAGCTGCCTGCCAAAAACCAGCCTCTCTCTGCGAACAAATTACATTTGCTCAACAAACTATGTACCATCACAAGGATGCATTTAATTTGGTGGGGACATTATCACTGTTGTACATATATCATCCTTATAAACCCAAAGAAAAAGCCAGAGGGAGATGCTGAAACTGTAGTCAGGTACAAAAAGCGACATTTGCCAGTGAGAAGTGCTGGTGTTTCCCAAATGGTTTGTACCTCTGCAAAGTCAGAGCCTTTCAGTAGAACCTATCTGCAGAAGAACAGAAAGTTTTGCAAGATTTCACCCCAAGGAGCTCGTGTTGCTTAGGGGGAGTCAAAAAGAAGTGGTAAAAAGCAAATTCTGCTTAAAAAGAGAAAAAGATTGACCTAGCTGTCCGATGTCACAGCAGAAATGAGGCTAAAAGGATGGCTTGGACTCACTGCACTCTGCCTTACAGAAGCCCTGTCTCAGACCTTTCCTTGTGGGAAGAGCCGGCTGTCCCATGACCGTTGTACATCCGCAGGGGAGAGGCATGCGAAACTGAGAGCTTGTGCTCTCCCCGACAGCGTGGCGGAGGGTGAAACCTGCCGCGCTGCTTCCGACTGACCGGCAGCAGCCAGCCTGGTGCCCAGTCTGGGTTTATTAGCCCAGCTTTTAGGCTGGCAGAGACTTAAAGATGCCAAATCATGGTCCTAATCTGAAAACCTCACCCACCTTGGCCCCATCATCTACCCCAGTTGAGGGATTACCTAGCCTACACTTCATCACACAAAGGTCCATCCCAAACTTGCACGACAGCATGAAATCCCCAAATCTTTCCCCTTCGATGGGAAGGGAAACCAGAGAAGGAAAATAATAAATCCCTCTGCTTCCTGGCTGGGATTTTTCCGCAGCAGTCGGCAGATTTACCCGAAAGCTTTTCCCTCGCCAGCGGTTTATGAGGTTTCACAAAGGGAAGATGAAGCAAGATGGGGAGCAGCAGTCCAGGGGCTGGAATAGGGTGCAACCGGCAAAGGACAAGCATCCCGGCAATCCCAGC